GGGGGGGTGATGCGATGCGATGCTTCGTTCACACTTGCAGGACTACGTTGTGTGTCTGATGTGGCAAATTTCTTTAGGCCCACTCACCAGAAAACACACAGTGAAGTTCACGGGGGGGGGGGAAGCCCTCTCTGCGCTCAGTGTGTGATTATCATCACTACAATTGGCAGCATTAAAGGCCCAGTGCTCAGGCTTTTGTTGCTGCTGCATGGTCATTAGCTGTGCATTTCAAAGGCCACTTTACTGTATGGAGGGAGGCGGTGGCAGAAAGTACTTTCAGCAGTCTGTTTGGATGAGCATGCAACATTCAAACACACACACACTCACTTTATGACTCTATAATCCTGTTACAATATCATCTAGAGCAGGACAGTGGGACACGCAAGCTGTCGGGTCTAAAAATACACCCAGACTCTCTTAAAACAAAACCAGGCTTCAGATTTGATTAGATGATCAAATATTTCATTGTGAGTCACTCCATCTGCATTTTTTTTCTCAGAAGAGCTGCGATCTTACTTTGTTTCAGCAGAGTTTGTAGCAGACAATGAGCCCGAATGGAAAGTGAAGACACAATCCCACCTTATATTAAGCATCCAATTTACTGACTGTTGTTCAGTAAGATGTTACACTACAGGTTTGTGCTGGAAAAATGAAGGCAGAGAGGATATTTCTTCTTAACATAATGTTAGATCATCATAGCTGAAGCTTTTATTTCTACAGCTGAATTTCCCAGCGCAGGACCAGCAGAGTACTCGTACTTTGTTATTGATTCCCTGATTTCTCACTGAACCCTGTCTTTCTTCTTTCAGCTGCTCCCTTTAGGGATCACCACAGCACATCATCTGCCTCCAGCTCACTCGATCCCTGGTATTCTCTTCTGTCACACCAACCCTCTGCATGTCCACCTTTGCTGCATCCATGGATCTTCTCTGTGGTCTTCCTCTTTTCCTCCTTATTCATCGTTCTTTGTCCAATAAAGCCAATATCCCTCCTCTAAACAGTTTGAAAGTAGATCCTCAGAAGCTGAAACCACTGACTTTACTGAGGTTTGTGATCGGCTTTCATTAAAAATGCATAAAATACTTTCATTTGCTTACTGTGACACGTGGATACAAAAAAAGAGATGGTGAACTTCTATTACCTTCTTTGTGGTGGTCGTGATCGACTACAGTTGGTAGTTTTTTGTTGCCTGCATGAGAAGGATTTGCTTGAGAGCACTCAGTAGATTCACTGATACTCAGAACAATGTGAAAACCCAAAAAACTCCGTCAATATCTATAAAGAAGAAATGTACATTTACACAAGTTGGAAAAAAGTCTCTGGAGCCGTCTCCAAACAACTGCAGATTCCAAGAATTACAAATTCAAACAGTGTGGCTACAATGCAGCTGCCATCACCAGTGTGTGAATGTGTGTGTGAATGGGTGGATGACTGGATGTGTAAAAGCCCTTTGGGGTCCTTAGGGACTAGTAAAAGCGCTATACAAATACAGGCCATTTACCATTTACCGTGCCCTGGGTGGGACTGCTACACTGCAAAAAGTGGATGGAATAATGAAGAGGAGGAATCTTCACCTCCAGTCCACATCCAGACAATTGAAACTGGGACACAAGTGGGTATTTAAACACAGCAGTGATATAAAGCACACATCAAAACTGGTTGTAGGTTGACATTAACATCTGGAATGGCCTTCTCAAAGACCCGACCTCAACCCTACTGAAAGTGGACTACGCTTGGTCCATGCAGGAAGAGTGGTCAAACGTCCAGCCAGGATTATGTCAGAAGTTATTAAGTTATTAAATACTGTTATTTTTGCTGTGCAACGTATGTTTTTTGTTTTATTTTCCCAGTATTCTGTGCAAGTTTTCTTCTTTTCTTTTTTAAATAATGTATATAAATTTCTCTTATATTCTAAAGTGTGCATAGATTCTTTTCATACCCTAGATTTAGATTTATTTGTTATTTATATTGTACAATCAATGGTGAATAAAAGCACCAAAATGATATTCTGATGTGCACTAACTGGTGTGTGTGCTGAATGACAATAAAGTGGCTATTTATTCTGTTCTGTTCTTCTAAAGATGTATGCCGTGAGCATCTATCCAGCTATGGGTCGAGTGCTCCCTCTATACTTGAAACGTGGGTATTACAGGTAACTGAAACACAATGGCAGGAGGTGTTCGCTTTTAATGGTTTTATTTAAGTTTGAGCTGCTGCATCAGAAGTTCCCAGCACGACTCATGTTGATGTTAAACTGCTTCCCCTTTAATATTTTGGACCATTTGGTGAGACTAATTTATGACATCACTTTAACTGTAGCACAGATATTGGGATAAATATAACATCCTAACCGTGTCAGTCTTTATCCACGATCACTACTTTTAAAAAACTTCTTTTTCCCGGTAGTTGGCTCCAGTATCCCACCTTACAGCATCCTGCTTGCGGCAATAAATATGGACACTTCCGTGTTATGATGTACGTCACCGGAGTGACACAAAACTCCCACAATGCAATGTTACGTAGACCTCAGCTAAACAACAAGCCGCACCTGAGCCTGAATGGTTTTAAATAGCCGGTCCGGATCGTCTGCCCCCGCTGTTTCTGTCCGGAGGTGGTCTGCCGGAGCTGGCTCGTTTTAGGTATGCTGTCCCGACAAATATGAGCGGATAGCCCTTAGCTAAGTAAGCTAACGGTAGTTATCATTGGCTGCTTCTAATTTAGCACAAATAAGCGTCTTTGAAGACATTTAGCTACAAATGAATCTCGGAAGCATGTTAGATTCTGTAACTGGTTAATAATGAGTTGTGCTGTTACTCTGAGGTAATTAGTGCTTTTGAAACTAGCACTGATTCGGTGTAGTTGGGGCTAAATGTTCTGCTTATTTAAAGTTGAGTAATCGATTTGTTTTGCAGTGCACAGTTAGCAGGTGAGCACTGAAACTGCTGCTTTTAGCCTGCTACAACTTCAAGATGGCGACTTAACAACATTTTTTTTTAAAATAACTTCTTGCTTTTATCATTTTAAAACTTAAATCAGAAAAACCCCGTCTTTACTCTAATTTTCTGACTGCGTCCACCTGAAATGTGACCACAAAAACAAAGCAACAAAAGGCCAAAGGAGCTTGGAAAGAAAAGCGTCTGGACTTCTTTAAGTTGCTTGAAGACGTTTCACCTCTCATCCGAGAAGCTTCTTCAGTTCTGAACTTCAAGCAACTTAAAGAAGTCCAGACGCTTTTCTTTCCAAGCTCCTTAGACTACGATGACTGAGAACCTTCACAGACATAAAGCAACAAAAGAAAAAGTGGGCACAATATAATTCTCATGGTCCTCCTGCTCGACCATCCCAGATGTACCTAAAAGTTTAATGCTCCAAATTGTATTAATATATACAGATTTCTGTGAAGTTTAAAGCTTTTATAAGATGCTTTTCTAGATAATTTTATTAGAAAAATGGGGTTTCCAGCAGGTTTGTTCACACTTTGAAATCTGAGGCAATGTTTGAACTTGGACAGCTCAAAAAGTATTAAAGATAAAAGTCTGATGTATCCTTTGGGCTTTCTTACCATAAAAATGAACCACTAGTTAGGAACGGGTACTTTAAAAGTGTCAAAGCGGTCCTGTGAAGTCCCGTGTTTGAGCACAAACTAATACATTCATGTTGCAAAAGAGTGATCATTTCCAAACAGTATAAAGTCAAACTTCACAATAATGTAAAAGAAAACATGTGAAACACTTTTAACTTGAAATTCTTCATCAAAATCTCCATATTTTTACTCAACTGTGATGCTGGTTGAGTAAATATGACAAAAACAAAAATGTCAGCACATAGTTTGATACAAATAAAACACCATCCTAGAATTTTCAGATGGTACTCTGTAGGACTGCCTGATTTTTGTTCAACTTTAGATTTTTTTTGATGTGTTGGTTCCAAATTACATATCTTGATTTATTTTTTATGATGGGGGGTGGACTATTGTAAAATCTAAATATCTTAAAACACAAAAATTTCACAGCGTTCATTTTATATATCCAAAACTTGGTCCATAAAAACTTTTAGGCAAAGATTGTGGTTGCAAAGAAAGTGTTATCACAATGGGATGACTTTTACATTGTCTCGATTAAACTGCTTGTTTATTTATTAACTCCCTTGTTTGTATTGCACAGCTGTGTCCTCCCACTCTGCGGTTGAGGGTTCAGGGTCCAGGATGGATCCCGACTATGAACATCGCCTCCTACGCCAAATTAACACCGAGAATGACATCTTTGTGAGTCGTTCGCTTAGTTTCTCCTCCTCTTCCTAGTTTTCATCATTAATAATATATCATTTTTTCCATCCCTTCATCTGATTTGAAATTTGCTTTATTAATTTATTCCTTGTAGAGAATTATTCTTTTATCTACTCAGATATTGTAACCACATTGGCTGTAGTATGGGAACTTAATAAAGATGTGCATCAGTGCTGAATGTGTGACATTATTAAGTTAGATCTTAGATGACGTAATCACTAACAAACCTCTGTGTTCATAAACTAACATACTTAATGATAAATGTTTGTGTTGCAGAAACTGCAGAACAGTCGGACACCCGCCGGCTCACCACTGTCCTCGCCCACTAAGCTTGGAGACCGATTCATACCTACCAGAGCGGGGGCAAACTGGAATATCAACTTTCACAGGATCAACGTGAGGCTGTGTTTTAAGTTTTGGGTTTTTGTAAGAGAGCTGTGTGGACACACCCAGTGGTTCAAGTTCTAATTCTGACGTTGTGGAAAAATGTTTTGTTTTGTTTTGTCACTTTAAGTTTTTCAAAAATTCTTGAAAGAGCATCTCAGAGCACTTCTGTGTTTTATTTAAGCAGCGAAAATAGCCGACAGTAGGGAAACGGTCTCAGTGTCCACAGCTGGTGAGGTCGCTCCTCTCTGGGCTTTGACAGCAACTTCATGAATTAGTGGAAATTAAATAGTCGTGTAAGTCGGCTGGTTCGGGTTATGGAGGGAAGACTCAGATTTCCTGTTTCATATTTTCTAAAGTTGTCATGTTTGTTTTCCAAATGTTTAAAATGGTAAAAATGAAGACGAACCCTTGAATGATGATTGCTTGGTTTGTTGTGTGAAATAATTTACAGTGTAAATGTTATAAATTGATCAATAATCTTTTTGATTTATGTGCAGGAAAATGAGAAGTCACCGACTGTGAACAAAAAAACAAAGGATGCCTCTTCTGACAATATCAAAGGTGAATATGTTTTGAAATTGTCTAAATTTTGCTGTTTCCTTGTTATTCTTTTATACCTGCACATGAATCAAATATCACTGCTGTAGCAGACGGGCAGGCCTACTCTGCTTTGCTGAAGAATGAGCTGTTGGGAGCAGGAATAGAAAAGATCCAAGATCCCCAGACGGAGGACAGACGTCTGCAATCGTCCCCGCCCGAGAAGAGGAGTCTCTTCTCTGTATGGAAGTCTCAGATTCTCTCGGTCATCCATGTTTGTGCTCTGATCAGACCTCTGTTTGCTCTAATGATGCACCTTTACTTTTCAGTACTCGCTCAACACCAAAAGCTTGTCATCAGAAGACGGCGCCAACGTCTCTCCCTACTCGTTATCACCCGTCAGCAATAAAAGGTAAGAGCGCTGTTTGAGCTCTAAAGTTTGAGATCATCCCTGCACTTTGGAGTCACGTTATACCTGAACTTCCTGTTGCAGTCAGAAGTTGTTGCGTTCACCAAGGAAGCCAACTCGCAAGATCTCCAAGATTCCCTTTAAAGTCCTGGATGCTCCAGAGCTGCAGGATGACTTTTATCTTAACCTGGTGGACTGGTCGGCTCTTAATATGCTCAGTGTGGGGCTGGGCACGTGTGTTTACCTGTGGAGCGCATGCACCAGCCAGGTACCGATACTGGAGTGTAAATTTCTGTTTATATTGTTGCTGTGCTGTGCAACAGTGACTCACTAGCTAAGTGTCCTCAGGTGACCAGACTGTGCGATTTGTCAGTAGAGGGCGACTCTGTCACATCGGTCGGATGGTCTGAAAGGGTAAGTACACGTAGCAGACTACTGTCAAAGAAACCTGTTAGTTGTTTTTTGTTATTAAGAAGATGCTTTGCACTTTGTTTTAGGGTAACCTTGTAGCCGTGGGAACTCACAAAGGCTATGTTCAGATCTGGGATGCTGCTGCTGGCAAAAAGCTTTTTGCCTTGGAGGGCCACACAGCCAGAGTTGGTGAGTTAGTGTGATCGTGGCTTCAGAAATGATCCTAAAGGAATACTTGAAAAATCAGCCAGGATAAAGTTGAGACATCTTGGAGGTCATTAAAGCGTAGCAACTAAGACTGTCTAAGCTGAGGCTTAAGTTAAAGTTACTCTGATTACAGGAGCTCTGGCTTGGAACGCCGACCAGTTGTCTTCGGGAAGCCGAGATCGTATGATCCTCCAGCGAGACGCGCGGACGCCTCCGCTGCAGTCAGAGAGGCGCCTGCAGGGACACAGACAGGAAGTGTGCGGTTTGAAGTGGAGCACTGACCACCAGCTGCTCGCCTCTGGTGGAAATGACAACAAGGTAGTTTTGTTTTTTATGATGATATTGATATTTAATCAACCACAAAGACTGTACGGATTTGCTTTGCTCACTGATGATGTGTTCGATTTGTGGTCTTAGCTGTTGGTGTGGAACCACTCGTCGCTCAGTCCCGTGCAGACGTACATCGATCACCTGGCTGCAGTTAAAGCCATCGCCTGGTCCCCCCATCAGCACGGCCTGCTGGCCTCGGGCGGCGGCACCGCCGACCGCTGCATTAGATTTTGGAATACCCTGACATCGCAGCCGCTGCAGTGCATGGACACCGGCTCTCAGGTCTGCAACCTGGCCTGGTCCAAACATGCTAATGAGCTGGTAAGAGACCCCACATGCACAGTGGATGTGCTGTCCGCGGATTTATTACCATTTGTAATTGTGAAGACACTGATTAAAAATGTAGGTCAGCAGCGATGCGTTAAGAGTAGGGATGGGTATCGTTTAGGTTTTATCCAATACCGGTGCCAAACCGGTACTTTTGAAACGGTGCCAGTGCTTAAACGGTGCTCGAACCGGTGCTTAAAGAACGGAAAACACAAACTTTGTCCAAAAACCTCTCGTTTTTTTTCTGCAGTTTTGGGGCATATATGGTATCACTCTTGGCTGGAAGCTTAAACAATGGAAAAAAACACAACCTTTGTCCAAAAATCTCTCATGTTTAACTGTTTCCCACTTTTTCTTTGGTCATTTTAGCCTTTTTGGCCAGGGTGAAGGGAGTATCTGCCATCAAACAAGAAGACAGCTGCATGTAGCTATGATGATGTTTGCTAGTTCACCTTACATGCATTAATGTAATAACGTGGTTAGCCTACTCAACGTAAATTACACACGAACAACATGAAGCTACTCACGCAGAGAAGAACGGCTGCTGCTGCATCATCATCATTTCTGCTACACTGGCAGGGCTAGGGGCCAGGACTCTCCTCTTCGGGTTCTTGGGGGATGTTGCTAACTCCGGGTCCGATAACAGGCACCACACCCGCAGTAGATGCGCTCGGTGTGAGGTCTCGCAGCAAGCTATCAAATACGGCGCATTTCTCGGCTTTTAAAAAAAACACGCTATGCGTCGCCAGGTGTTTCATCGGATTCGAGGTGTTACCTCCTTTGACAGTATCACAGTATCAGCTTAAAGCACTTGTTGCTGCTGAGTTTGCATCTTTTGCTGTGAAGTACAGCCAGACTTTGACCGCTTCGCCTTGGACATTTTTAATCTGTAGCTCTGCTCTAAAAGAACGTACGTACCTGGGCCCGCCTACTATCCTTGGAAAGGTAAAATGATTGGCTAGAATCCAAAGTGTGTGACATCTCAGGGGAAAAAAGCACTGAAATGTGCGCTGCTTTTCGGTCTGGTTACTACCGTGTATGTCATTATGGCATCGGATACCGGTACCCATCCCTAGTTAAGAGCATTTTCTGAAGTCGATTGGATACATGTACAGAGCTGTTCTGATTGGCCAGCTCCAGGGGCTTCTGCATGGATCGACCTCAGCTCTATAATCATGAGTGAGGGAGATTAAAACTCAACTCTGTTTCGTTGCATGTAAAATTAGCGTAAACCTACGAGTGCAGAATGAATCCTGTTTTGTGTGTTTTATTGAAAATGACAAACTTCAGAATTAAGAATAGCTGCAAAATTACTGATTTGTCGTTGCTGGACCCAAAACTGGCAGGTAGGTGAGTCTTACTGTCACATAAGGTAACTGTCATGTTTGATTTAATGTGAACTTTGAATACACAGATAAAGAGATTAATCATTTTGTATTAGTGATGAGCAGGATGACAGATTGTGTCAGGCAGGAGTCTCGTACTTTATTCTTCATCAGTCATGCTCTTTATTATTAAGGACGTGATTTATATCTTTAGTGATCCCCCCCCAACCCACTCAATCACTGACTCTTCAGATATCTTCTGGGGGGAAGATGGATGGAGCATGCTAATCATCTTTCCAGCCCTTTTAATGACATTTTGAATTTGTGATCCGAGCTTGACACAAAGGTTATCCGTTATGGAGAATGGGTTCAACAGCTACCCCATAAAACCGGTAACATAATGGTTTGGACCTGTGCAGAGGGAAGGATAGTGGAAGACTACAGAGAAGGTTCGTGGATGCAGTGAAGGAGGAAATGCAGAGGGTTGATGCGACAGAGGAGGATGCTGGGGATAGGCTGAGATGAGGCAGATGATCTGCTGTGGCGACCCCGAAAGAAAGAAGAGGTTTTCAGAGATTAAGCTCGCTGTTAATTCAGCTATATCGCCTTTACATACTGTGATGGCCACACCCATGACTGCACTCTAAAAGTCGGTAACTCTGATGTATTCTTTATTTCTTCATTAATAATAATAACACACTTCAGTTTGCAGTAAGTTTGTTTGGTTTGGATACATTTGTTTGTAAGCGCGCACATTTAGTTTGCTTATGTATTTATACCAATTTATTTCTGATTCTTGGTTTGATTTTTGTATAATCTTTGTCTGGCCTCCCTCACCGATCGTGGCAGGTAAGAAACAGGTAAAGGAAACAAAAGGTGGCGTTTAAAGTAGTGAAATGCATAGAGGGGATGATTGGACCGCACCACCACCTCCTGCTGAAGGGGGAGAAAGTGTGTTTTCTTTAGTTAAATGTTTGAGTTTAGGGTTTAGTTTTGATTTTCTTCTTTGGTGTTTAGTTTATTAACACTGTGCTGCATCGTTTTGTGGTTTGTTTACTTCTGTTGTGTCATAGTGGTCTAATCAGCCATTATATGTGTGTCATTTCCTGTTTAGGTCACTCATGTTTGTTTGGTTTGTTGAGGTCACAGTTCACTGTTTCTTTGACTTCTTTCATGAGCTCAACATTTACTGTTTGTAAATAAATGAAAACCCATTTTCGGATCATTCCTGCGACTCCTGCTTTTTCAGCACACATACACGAACTGGAGTTCGCTGTTAAAAACAACAAAAAGCAAACAAATGCTTTTCTTTTTCAGGTAAGCACCCACGGATACTCTCAGAATCAAATCTTGGTGTGGAAATATCCAGCTCTCACTCAGGTGGCCAAGCTTACAGGACACTCCTACCGAGTGCTCTACCTGGTCAGTCTGGGGTTTTTTTTCTCCACTGATAATATAAATGGCCTGTATTTATATAGCGCTTTACTTTAAATAAGAACATTATTGAGATAAAATTCGAATGACTTGTTGTACTCTCTAGGCCATGTCTCCAGACGGTGAGGCGATCGTGACGGGAGCTGGAGACGAGACTTTACGCTTCTGGAACGTTTTCAATAAAACGCGCTCGACAAAGGTGAGAAAGCATCGACAACAAACCCCGCCCATTTTAATACCTGCTGAAAACATTAACCAAGTTTCTTCATTTTTTGTTTCAGGAATCTGTATCAGTTTTAAATCTCTTCAAGAGGATACGGTGACTTTAAGCACCTTTTTTAAAAGAAATAAAATCCTGCCATCATCGGCGGATAGCTCAGCCGCCCGGTGCTAAAGACATAAAGTACAATCAGAGGCTTATTGTGAGTTTTCTTTTCACAAAGGGAATGACAGCAACACCTAGTTTTATTTTTATTTTTTAAAATTGTGTGAAAAATTCTTTTGCACCTGCTGTGAGTGTATTATTTGTATTATATGCTTAAAAAATGTAAAAGTGGGTGGGGTTTTTTTTCTTTCTTTTTTTGTCAGTATACAAAAGTAGAAATCACAAGCCTTAAGAATATTGGTATCATCTGAAATGTGTTTTGTTTACCTCAGATTTAATTTATTTAACACACTTATTATACAAAAGACATTCAGAGACTTATTTTTACACCATTGTTCATAGGATGGAGGTTTGGAGTGATTTAATGACATATTATACTATGAATAAATAAAAAAACAAGCACCATGGTTATTGTGACCTTTGGACTGTGGTTGAGAGGAGGTGACTGAGTACACAAAGTCTAATGCTGTGCATTTAGACGTCTACTGAATTGCTGATTATTTGCAGTAAAACAAATAAAAGATACTCAGGAGCCACTTTCTGACTTTGTGTTTATTTATTTATTTTTCACAACTTGTGCAGCGTGGATGGAAAACCCGCCAGTGCATTCAGAATTGTTAGAATTTCTTCGCGGCATAAATTGAACAAGCTGCTGGAAACATTCCTCAGAGATTCTGGTAAACTTGTTGCAGTGTTTAAGAAAAAACAACCAAACAGTTTTAGATCATTCGAGTTTTGTGATGTGGCGCGTTATCCTCCCCAGACGCAACCATCAGAAGATGAGTACACTGTGGTCATAAGGGAACATGGTCAGCAGCAGAACTCGGGTAGGCTGTCGCATTTAAGTGATGCACAACTGATACTTCTGGACCCGGTGTGTCGAGATGATATTCCTCACACCATCACAACACCATCAACCAGCCTGAACCACTCGCACGGGGCAGGGCGATGCCATGCTTTCATGTTGTTTGCACCAAACTCTTTACCGTGTGAATGTGAAAGCAAAAATTGAGCCTGATCAGACCGGACAAAGTTTTACCGAGCTTTTGTTGTTCACGTTTGGTGAGCCAGTATGAATTAAAGCCTCAATTTCCTGTTCCTGGCTGATAGGCACAAAGTATGGTCTTCTGCTGCTCTAACTCATCTGCATTCAAAGGTGCTCTTCTGCATCCCTTGGGTGAAATGAGTTGTATTCCCTTGACCTCTGACATCAACACGGCAAATTCAAAGTCACTTAAATCACCTTTCGTCTCCATTCTGATGCTTGGTTTGAACTTCAGCAGGTTGTCATGAGCATGTATATATACCAAATGTCACTGATTAGAAGTCATGTGAGTAGCAGATCAGATTTTGGGGTTGAACAGTGCAATAAATAACATGACAAACAACATCTTTTAAATTATCTCCACGTTTGAAAAAAAAATGAATATTGGCTTCTGGATCATTACATGATTTTCATTATGTGAGATGTTTGTGTAAAATCAAAGCTAAGGCACAGTCTGTGCTGATGACAGCAAATGGCTGTAGTTGTAATTGCTCTCCCATTCCAGCAGGTGGCGGTACTTTTTTCCTCTTCCTCTGTGGTCGTTGATCGGAAATGCTGTCGACAGGCGGGAACTTGAAAGTTTGAGTAGGTTTAGGTTAAACAATATTCCCGTTTTAGCGCCGTAAACTGTTTTTATTGAATTAAAGAGGCATCTTTCGTGGGAGCACGGTAAGTTGGAGGGACATCTGTGAATTACGTGCACTCATTAAGCTAACTACGCTGGCTGATGATAATAGTCTCCTGTTGTTGTTTCTAGCTTTAGCTCGTTACCCGCTGTTATTTGTCAGGATGGGAGACAGAAATCTTGTTCAGGACTTGAAACGCTGGGCGACAGAGGAGTTTGGGCTGCCCCCGGACAGGCTGCCTAATGACAGCTATTTTAAAACGTAGGTATCTACACTTATATGACCTGTCATCAATGTTATTACCTAACTTTTTAGCCTTGAACTAATGTTGATTGTTTTCCAGACTCTGTGTTGGGACGGGGAAGTCGATATGGAAATATGTCACCCAGCATGTTTTCCAGCAAAGGTGAGACTTTGCTCCCGCTTGCTTTTTGTTTTGTTTTATAAACCTTTTGATCACTAAATTATAACGAGAGCACGGCTCATTTCCTGTCCTCAAACATTTACTCAGGACTCTGGTTCATTACAAAAGAAAAAACATTTGTATGAATGGCCTGTTTTCTAAAATAAACTGCAACCTCTGACTGATTTCTGTCTTTTTAGGAATGTGAGGATCATGCGTGGCAATCTTCAGTGGTATCCTTTTTGGTCTTGACTTGATTTGCAAAGCTTCCAGCTTCTTTCCAACAGACTATAAATTTCTCCCGGACCTGAATGTTACCTTTCCTTGTTATTTATTTGCTCTGTTATCCTTGACATTGTTATTAGGTATAAATCGCTTCAAGACAAAGAGGTAGGCTGCAACTTATTTCTTTTCCCCAGCAGTTATAATTTAGTTTAATTGTTAGTGATTGCGCTTCACAAAGTGGAGTGTCTGTAAAAGCTATGTTTGTGTTTACTGGTGTGCAGTCTTGTCAGGCTGAGGGCCAGAGTGAGGCTGCAAGGCGTAAAGATCTCCAGAAGAAGATAGAGCAGCTGAAAGAAGAGATTAGTCACCTGGACTCTCAGATGAGTGTTACAGAGGAGCAGATGGCCACACAAGGTTAGTCCATCATATACACTGTGGGCAGGACTTCCAGCCATTCCGCCACAGTGCACATTGGACACTAACGCAGAGACAGCAACCGGTCATTCTCACACCTATGCTCAATTCAAAATCATCAGTTGATGTGTTGTCACTACTTTGATTAGATGCAAACATGTCTGATGTTGTGTATGTTTGTTTCAAAAGGTACTGAGTTACACTGTGTGATTGTTTTCTTATATAAAGGTAAAATAATTAAAGTTAAAATGAGAGAAGTTCTGAAAAAATATCTTTTTCACACATTTCACATGATGACAGGTTCAGCTCAAATATATTAGTTATACCACAAAGTGCTGAAAAGGTTGAATCGGTGATATCAGTTTTCTCAACTTAATTTACATGGCTGTGAAAAGATCTTTCTTCTTTAACTTTTGTTGAGGGTGAACGGCAGAAATGGTTTTTCTCTACTATTTTGCCGTTTGCGTTTAATAGCTGCATTTTCTGCTGTGATTACACAGAGAGCTCTATCAGTCGAACCTGGGCCCAGGTGGAAGACGGCCAACGCAGAGAGCTGCTGCTTCAGGCTTTCAGGCAGCGCTGCATCTCGAGCTGCAAGGATCTTTCTGATGATGTCCAACAGATCAGTGTGCACTGCCAGGCTCTGGAACAGATGGCCAGGTAAGACAAAACATTTACTAATACATTTTAAGTGAAAACGAGCCGCGATGCCTTTTACATGTTTTTCTTTGTGTGTGTGTGTGTTTATTGCAGAAAAGCAGAAATTGAAGTGCTGTTTGATAAATCTTCTTGCAACAGCCTCAATGTCAAAGTGGCAACAGAGGCACAAGTTCTGGTAAAACATGCCCGAATCTGTATTTTACTTAAGTTTAAAATTTAGAATGTTTATCAGACAGAAATAGCAAATATAGCTGCTTTGGAGGGACTCTGTGTGTTTTCTATCCATCAGACAGACATTCAGACTTGGGGCCAATTTATAGTTACCAGTTAAATGGTAAATGGCCTGTATTTGTATAGCGCTTTACTACCGGTAGTCCCTAAGGACCCCAAAGTGCTTTAACCAACCAGTCATCCACCCATTCACACACTGGTGTTAACCCAACATTACTTCACCTAACCTTACCTAATGTATGCTGGGAGAAATGTTAACATTCGCACAAATCTGGAATCAGTTGCTTACCGAGGCAACTGTAGCATATCAGCTGCTGACTTCATGAAATCATCCATTACTTTTGTTTTCTTTCTTTAGCGCGATGTGAGAGAGCTGTGTGACGACAGGGTCCACTTCTATCAGTCTTTACAAGAGTGCGAATCGAAAACACAGCACTCTGCAGCCACACAGTAAGGACCGCAGACTGTACTCGATTTAAGTTATTCAGCTTTTAAAATGTATTTAGTTTCTTGTTTGTTTGTTTTCCCTGTAGTATGACCCGTGAGCAGCGGACTGCTGTATTCCAGTACTGGCTGAGTGCTGTTGAGGTTGGTGTGTTTGTGTCTGATTTTACAAAATATTTTTGTATTTGTGTTAACACTGTCTTTAATTTTGACTTTGCATTAACACGCTGTTGCTTGTTGTGTCACCAGAACGTGTTGGGTACTTACCCTCCAAACCATGTTCTATCAGCGCTGCAGTATTTGGCTTCAAGAGAGCAGAAGGTATTGGAGGAGAAACTGTCGTCTCTGGACGTGACACGGGATGTAACAGCTCTGCAGTAAGGCAGTGACTGGGATCTTTCATTTCATGTTATGCTTCCAGATTTCCAGTGTAATGCATTTTAAAAATGTATTTATTTATTTTTTGACATGCAGGTTCCGCTATGAAAGCGATCACCTTCTGGATATGTCAGCAGAAGAGGAAAATGAGTTGCCACCAGTTAAAACCCTCTTAGAGGTGCGGTCACATTGCAGTATACCAATAGTAACGTAGACAAAACCATGTTCATACCATCATGATGAAAAATAGCACACCCCCTGTTAATTCTAACAGTTTACATATCAGGACATAATAAAGATAATCTGGTCTTAAAATGAGGTAAATACCAACAATAGCACATGTCATATTAAACCATATCATTGTTGATTTAACAAAAACTAATCCAAAATGCAGAAACAGTGTCAAAGGTTAAACACACCATATGATTCAGTAGCTTGTAGAACCAGCTTTAACAACAGTGTCACATTTGCTGATGATCAGTGAATGAAATAAACAGAAGCAGTAAGAGTGGACTTATTTTTTCACACATTATGTCCTGATACATAAAATCTTGATCGAACCATGATCATCTCTTTCTTTTTCCTGGAATCTGCGATTGGTAACTTTTCATGCATAGACCCGCATGTGATTGTTGCTGCAGGCTGCTTGGGAAGAAGTGGAGCAGAACTTGGTGGAACTGGCCCAGACTCGCTCCAGAGTCCAGCAGCTCAAAAACCAGCTGCAAACCCGTAAGAAGGACGCTGAGCTCGAGGTGTCCAGTATTAGAGATGAGCTCCAGGATGATTCCTTGGCACTGTAAGTTCATTCCAATTCACTCTCTGCCTTTGCCATACATTTCATGGTTTTTTTGCAGTACTGCACCTTAGGAGTTGGGTTTCTGTGTGTGTGGGGGGGCAACAAACAGCCACTGTTATTGTTGTTGTTTTTATCTGAACGTTACAATGTTTTTAAACTTTGTATTTACATCCTGTTTGAAAACAGCTATGTGAGCTCATTTTACCGGTAATTAGTGGTAATATCTTCAGAGGCAATAATTTTGTCTCGTCTTCTACATGCTTTTTATTTTCCTTGCGCTCTGAACTGTTAGATCAGCTCTCGAGGTGGAACTGCAGTGTGTGATGCAGGCAGCCTCCAGGGATTATATCAGAGACCGCTGCATCCAACTTGACCAACATGCCCAAAGTCGACAGGAGGCGCTAAGAAGCCTTCGCAGGCAGTGGCAGAGCATACTGGACTTCAGACAACTAGTGGTGAGAGTTGACAGACAATATTTTGGGATGAAATATTTTCTACATGCATTATATATTGTAGATCTGTGGTCTAGATGGTTGCTAGGTGTGAGGAGACTGACTTTTTGTCAGCATTTGTCACATCATCGCAGCAATTTCCTAATGTTGTAAACCTGCTCAACATTTGGCAATAAAACCCTTTCTGATTCTGATCATAAAAATAATCATGTTCTGCTTTCTTGTTTTTATAGCTTCTCAGACAAGAGCAGATCAGAGGTCTGATTAAGGGGAACTCGACAGCCAAGACGCAGCTGATTCATCTTCACAGAGAGGTCAGGATCAATGACAGTGAAATATGTTTGATGAGAGGCTTCAGTCTGGGGTGAAAAACGAGAGTGACTAAAATTTAATTCTTATGGGTTTTTTTTGTAGCACTCTGAGGATTTTAATCTTTGTGTTTTGTCTCAGTTAGAGGAATTCATCCAGGCAAAACTAGTGGCACAGTTTGAAGATGTGACCACTGCAGCCAACAGTCTAAGGAACGCTGTGTCTAAGGAGGCCAGACAGATGGGAACAGTTTCACTTCTTTCCCTGGACCGCAGAACTATCGAAGGGTATGAGCATGTTGCTTGGTATCCCTCTATTTGCCTCGTTGGTGGTACATCTGTGGCCCAGCTGCAGTGAATCAAAACAAAAACATATTTAATTGTTGTCCTTGTCCAGCGGTGACATTCGCTGACCAGAAATATAATTCCATTTTGTTTTGTTTAGTATGCAACGAATTCCTGCATCGTGGTTGTCCATCCATCGCTTGCGGTCCCCGACCTTCAGCAGCGTGTGTCAGAGTCTGGCATTCCCTCTGTACAAGGTGAGTTTTGGCATTTAATATGTAAATTATTGCAGTTTTACTGTTTTCTCTTTGATTCGGCTCGCTCTCACGCTCATGTTTTGCTACGGTTGCAATCTGTTTGTGATGATATGGTGATTATTTAGTGAAAATTGCAAATCTGTGTCCCTCCCTTACCATCTAAATACCACAGAAATTCATTTAATTACTTGCATTGAGAGCCCAGCCAGAAACTCATAGGTTTAAAACATTCTTTCACAAATTGCGACGTAGTTACTGCAGGTCAGCTGTTTATTGCAAATCGACAGGCAGTTGGAGTCGTCTCTTACAAATGAAGATTCAAGATTCTTTATTTGTCACGTGCATGGTTATACAGGTATAACACGCAGTGAAATTGGACCTGATAGGCTCCTCTGAACGCTCTGCAGACGAGCTCTTCTGTTCAGCTGACTCCGAATGATTGCATCGTTCAGGCAGATTGTCCGTGTTCGTAAATTAGACACCGATTATTTGCAGACAACCTTTGCAGTCGCCTTGTGATTGAAGGTGGTTGCCAGAGTTTGGAAGTGTTGCACACTCAAACTCAGGGCGTCCAGCTGGAGTTGGTTGCTGAACGCTAAAAACATTCAATGCAGTCACTGGGCAACCACTTCATTCTTCCTTCCTTCCTTCCTTTGCTGAAAGGAGGTTGCTATGATGATCTTGCTTTAGTGTGACTGAGTCATTTGCTTCAGTAAAAGTAGATGTTAGTCAGTGGAGCATTGTTCTGAACTGGTGACATCATGATTTTGTGTTGTATTATTTTAAAATATTCAAATTGTAATTTCAGTCACTAAAACAAACCGTTTATTCAGTCATGCTGCCTGGGTAATGGCCTCCAAAGAAATCTTCTAAAGGGACTTGGTGACTGTCTCACTATCCTAACATCACTTATGTTTCCTCTGGATCTTTCTCAAATCATTTTCTACAAAATCAGTGTTTGCAGCCAATTCTTAAATGTGGCCTAAGTGATTGTAACGGACGGTCATTGATCGATGCTGAACCCCTCACAACCAGGGATGATAAAAATTGCATCTTTGAAAGTCAGTTTCACTGAGCAGAAGGAAAATAGAGTTCCATGTACCAAAGCTGCTGGGAGGTGTCCTTTTTCACTGTTTTATTTTTCCTCATATATTGCATACTAGTAACGTTTTTGACTTTCACACCCGACTTCAGGCTCCGGAGGAGTTGTGTTCCCGATCTCGCTCACAACAGCTTGAGCTGCGTTTTCTTCGTCAGTTACTTCAGCTTCACTCTGCCACTCTGCAGAAGATAAAGAAGGAAGCGGATCAGCTGGAGGCATCTGATCAAAAGGGTAACCAGGAGAACTTATCGGGAGATAAGAGATTTAAAGCATTTGGTTTAAACACAAATGAGGGCAGTGTTTGGTGTTAATATGTTGAGAAATTTCCTCAAAAAATAAAATGCTCAGTGGATTTTTAGTAACATACTGCTGTCTGTCTGCACTCTTAGCTCTCCTGTCCAGAGTCATGGAGGAGGACCAAAAGCTTCTTAAGTCTTTGGTACCAAGAGTCCGAGGGCTCACTCACCGCTGTGCACAGGGCCTTTCTTATGGGGACCAAGTCAAAACCGCCATCTCTTATTGGTGAGACGCATCTTTTAAACCGATAGCCTGTTATCATTTTAATTGCTGCTTAATCGAGATTTCTCCTTTCTAATCTGGGTGTATTTTTACAAATTGAGATCTGGGAATTACCTAGAGTGATACGGTTACCTGAACAACATCTGCAAGTGAATGGACGAGTTCTCACTAAAAGAGCATGTTTTAAACACTCATTAGAACTACTTCCTGGTTTAACCTTTAGACAATACTAAGATTATTCGTGCACACTTTTGTAAGTGTTTTTTCTTTCCAAATTTAAGTGATTTAGGCAGTTTTAATGATCTTTCATTGATTGTCTGACTAGGCTTTTGTTGCTGGAGTCCATTATGGAGAGATAAATGTACTTGCCATTTTTAACTGGTCTCCGTAATGCAATGGATAAATTACACCTGGTCAGTGATTCTGATTATTATTGACTTTTTTCTTTTTTTAAATGTAGAAGCTTAATCCAGGTACGGAAACTGACTGATAGTGGTTTAAGTCATCTAATTATAGTTTTGCAGCTCAAACTATTTCAAAAAAGACCAGCTTTCTTAATTCTTTGGTAGTAAATGAAGTCTTAAACCTTACTGTCAACTTGCCTATCTACAGACAGGTGATTACACCATTTCTAAATGACTTCATGGCTTGAATTAAAAAAAAAATAAAATTCATGCTAGTACATCTGAGGCCAATATCTAACTGAATTTATTGGCTCTAATTATTTTCCATTCATGCCCTTGCTCAGTAGTCCAGCATCTCATTCTCTAGTTAACTTCCCTGTTTTGTGTGTTGTAGGTGGGAAAGGCCAGCCCAGCATGTCCTTCCCGAGGTCAGTAAAGGAGGACTGACTTTTCAGCAGTGGTTACAAAGGTGGAAACTAGCAGCAAAGTCCCCATAGTTTAATACTGTGATGGATTCCTTTCAGCACCTTTCAGTGGTAGAATGAACACTGTGTTGTAGATATTTAATGCACAAATTGTGTTTGTTTTTTTTCTCTCATTTGTCATCATTACTTACCATGTGTAAATCAGTCACTAATAAACCCTTTCGAAGCAAAATACGTGTTCCTTTCTTCTTTGCTTCCTCATATCCATTAAAGTTGTTTAAAACTGCCTCTGGCTCCCGCATTGGAAAACCAAGCTGAATCCATTGTGAATGCCCTCTGAATGAGCCGTAGGTGTCTATCAATAGCCATGTATCGATCTTTCTCACAGTCGGCATTCGGTCCACCGTCGAGCTCCGTGGGCACCGTTGTGGAGTGTGCAGCCATCCTTTGCATGGAGTAGCGCTGCTCCTTTGTAGCAGTGAAGGGGGAGTGGAGCAATCTGATTCTTGTGAACTCAGCTCCTCCCATCGCTGCGACTGCGCAGTTCAATTTTTCACTTTTTTTTTTCACTCCTACTCTGGCTTCCGGACGCCAAGACAGAGCGCTGCCGCCGAATTTAAAGAGACAGGCTTTAGTTTTTTTTAAATACGAAAAACGGTAACCATTGTCTCTGGGCTTATTTTCCGATACTTCTTGCCTGGGCTCGTTTAATTCGATGGTGATGTTTCATCAAAGTCACCGAGAGTAGCAGGTTGTCTGTCATCAACCTTCATTCTGCTGGATTTCCCGTCCTTTTTTTTTTTTGCCTCTGTACCTAGACTGTCCAGCTAGGCAGAGTAGGGTTGCTTGCTGGCAGGCTGGCTTCCCGACCGAGAGCAAGGTTTGTCGGCTAGCCAACAACTGGAGGTAACGCCGAAGCTTCCCTCTTAAGTTGTGGTAGCGGCTCTCGAGCCTCCTGTCGCCGGGATAATGGCGAAGATTCAGGCGCACAGCACCGCGAAGCAAATAAACCAAATTCAAGACAAGCCTTACGTTATAACACAAAAGCAAGTGCAGCAGCAGCACTTCCAGAAGCTGAAGGTAAGGAGACAACGGACATGACAAGGGAAAAGTGGCTGAGAGTCAGAACCATTTTGTTCGTCGGATCATTGCATTGGATTTGAGGCTTTTTTCTCTTTCTCTCTTCTGTCGTCGAGAGTAGTGAAAGGAACGGCTGGCTAACGTTAGTTAGCTCGCTGGCCTATTAAAAGTAATTCATTGCTAAACAGCCTAACGTTAACATTTAATGTTGGATTTAGAAGCTATGTTTCGTTTAGTGGATGTGCGAGTGACAGTGGAGTGGCACAGTTAGTGGTACTTTCTCATTTGCCATATCAATAAGTGCTTCTGTGAGCAAACGTTAACTCAGACCTCGCTTGTGGGAAGTTCCTCCTTGTTCGTTTTTTCAGCCACCCGAACAAAGTGGAGGACGTCAGCCAGGCTAGCCAAGAACGGCTATTTCACTTCATTAGCAGCTTCAGTACACGTTTCTTTGTTATAGTAGTGTTTTAATATGTCGTACTGTTTTTGCCAACGCGACACTGTTGGCCGGGGACCAGCTGTGACTAAACATATTGTATAAATTTGTATGCGGGTAGGTGTTGCAAGTGTTGGTGGAGTTATTATCGTGAGTCGACTGGCTCCTGGCTAAACGTTAGCTACAACAACCCTCTTTAAGATGTGGACTATTTGTGACAATGGCTTGTGTGAAGACATTTTTCCCCCTTTAGCGCAACCTAAACTAGCCTAGCTGTGGTAGCGAAAGAAAGCAGTGGAGTAATGAACAAAAGCTGCCTGGTGTCTCTTGTGTATGCCCAGTTATTTATTTATTTTAGCGTTAGTTGTACAGCTTGTACTGCTAACCAGAGGATTTGTTGATGTTGCACTTTGGCTGATAGTGAACAAATCAGTCAGCATTCACGTAACTTCACGTATGCAGCACTGAAACAAATCTGTACGATGGGGCTACCTGTAATTTTATAGTACAAATCGGAAATAAATGCATTTATTAATAATGCAAAACGTAGCATTTGAAATCTATAAACAAGCTTTGTAGCTGTAAAATCATCCACCGTGAGCACCGTGGCTGGATTCTGGGGAAAATGCTGCTCCATACATCCAGCTGAGACTGCCTGTGCTTTGTTCTGTACTGATGTTTTTTCTTCCTCTTCTCCATGTTTAGGTTGAAGATGCCTTGTCATATCTGGACCAAGTCAAAATTCGTTTTGCGAATGACCCTGGGATATATAACAAGTTTCTCGACATCATGAAGGAGTTCAAGTCGCAGAGGTATCATTGGGCATTTATGCAAACAAACCACAAGTAACTACTACACAGGGAGCACACTGATTTCTGTTGTGCAGTTTTTAAGGGAGGTGGTCCAGATCCACTTTAAAATACAGTGGGATCTTCATTTACCCATACGCCACCAAGTCTTATGAAATTCAGCTTGATGGTTTTTGTATAATCTTGTGACCAACTGGCAGCTGTACTTCTGCCAGGGTGAAAACCAGAAGTAATGGGAGTTCTAGTAATGCATTCTTAATGACATACATTCCCATACATATTCTTTAGATGGTGAGTGTGCTGCTTGTTTATGGAGTTTCATTACGTTGTGCTGTTTAATCCTTGACTAGTTCTGTTTCACAATCTGGAGTTTATCAGTGCATATGAAACTGCACATAGCTTCTTACTGTAATTATGCAACTGGTATTATTATCTTGAAATGAAACGAGGACTAAAAGCAAATCCTCTTTGCTCCTTTTTCTTTAAAGCTAACATGTGTAGTGCTTATTAATAAGTTGTTTTCTGTTTTTGCTTTGTGGTGTTTGAGAGAAGTAGTTAATCAATCTTTCTCAACCAAACTTCTAAACTATCTGTATGTCTTCTGAAATAGCATCGACACACCGGGAGTGATAAACCGTGTATCACAACTGTTTCATGGACACCCAGACCTCGTCTTGGGCTTCAATGCCTTCTTGCCACCGGGGTATCGGATAGAGGTCCCTAAGAATGGGATGGCTTTCCTTCAGTCTCCTTTCTCTGCACAGGTAAGATGCTCTTTTTAAAGAGATATCAGATATAAGTAAAGCAATGTACAGCAGTGTATGCTGACAGCATTATATGTTTAAGACCACAGAACATCTTCGGAGGAAACAGGTGTGGCTCTACTGCCCTGAACTTCAGCTGAATGATCTACCTGAAAAAGCCCTCACGAAGATTTCACTACAAAATGTGACAGCAGCTTTGTAGTTTAACAAAATTTCAGCTGGAGTTCTGCTTCTTCCTGTGCATTTTTGGCTGAAACAAGCACTTAAATCTCATCACAAAGAGCCAAATATATACAAGTTGTATATAAAAAGAATTTCAGAGATTAGGAATCTATGTTAGACTTTAAAAGAATTTTACGGTGTGACACAAAAACGACTACACTGAGGAATTTGTAATGATTTCACTCTGTGGCATTTGGTCCGTGTCAGATTGAGTTAAACTTTTATATGTGTCAGCTCCTTCAGTTTCTGTGTACAATTTTATTATTTTAAAGTAAAAGCTGGGAACTAACTTCCAGGGATGTTTTGTTCTGAGAGATGGATCGTGCTTAGGTAGTGGATGGCAAGATAATGGGATTTGGGCAATCTTAGGTGTAATGTTAGTGTGACTTGGGATTTGCATCAGAACTACTTTCCTTTAATACTGACTTTAGATTACAAGTACATTCATATAAACATCCAGTCACTTTTCTTTCTGAACATTAGGCATAAAGTATGCATAATGCATGCGTTTCTTTTCTAAAACCTATGAAAGTTTATGTAAACTTTTTCTGTTAAATCATTTTAATATTTAGTGCTTTATGTTTACTGTGTACCTTTTGTCTACAATTACAATTGTTATTGTGTTATATAGAGTTTATACACTGCTAAGGGAGGGATTTAAAACGAACCCACAGAGCCAACTTATGTTTGAGTGTTTAATATTTCTGCAGCAACACAAGCACATTAAAGTTGGTTTACGTCATCATTTTAGCTGCACCTGCACCGGCATATACAAACAGATATTTCTCCCCAAGTCGTAAATAAACAGTCTTTTTCTTAATGCATCTCTGTGCAGGTATCCCCAAGCCCGCAGGGGAAGAGTCCTGTCGCTCCTGCTGTTGCTGCAACCTCGGGTAGCGCCTCTTCCTCTCACTCTGAAGTGGGACCTGCCCAGACCAGTGAAGTCAAGGTGGCCACAACAGAGCCCCTGTCTTCATCAGCAGCAGGACCTCCAGAGCCTCCCAGCAGACTTTCTCTTCCCCTGACCAGCAGAGAGAGCCAAAATCCAGCAGCCACCTCATCTGTGTCCCCGCCTGCCTCAGAGACGAGCCCTGTAGAATTTGATAGCGCCATCAGCTACGTCAACAAGATTAAAAACCGTTTCCTGGACCATCCAGAGATCTATAGAGCCTTCCTAGAAATTCTTCACACATATCAGGTACTGTAGAAGTAAGGCCATGAATACTGCATATTCATAGCATAAAAGGTGTTGGGTTTTTATTTGCAGTTTCTGAGTTTTGTTTTTATTTTGTGTGTGTGTGTCTCCCCTATATCTCTATAACATTTTAGAAGGAACAGCTGGAGGTGAAGGAGAGTCGAGGCAGTCGAGGCAGCAGTGGGATGACAGAAGATGAGGTGTTTTCTAAAGTTGCCAGTCTCTTCAAGGGACAAGAAGACCTGCTGGCTGAGTTTGGACAATTCTTGCCCGATGCCAAGAGATCACTGGTGAGTTGCGCAGCATAGACGGAGATTTCTGATGTTCCACTTGGGAAGGAGATGAAAATCTGCACAGTTTGAACAGAAACAATTTGCAGTCGGGCACGAAAGCAACATTTCTCATTTCCAGTTATTTTAACACAGTTTACAACAGTGACATTTTGTATATTTACGGCTCTGAAATGCCATCATGATAATATTCACACAGTTACAGTGAAGTGCCACTTTTGAACAGCTGAATATATAACTTGTCAAAAACGTTGTATTTCTGTCAGTCAGTTCTCTAAGAAGTTCCCAAAGTCCCAAGAAGTACTACTGAGCATTTTTTGCCCACGTGCCTCCTCTTCTGTAGTTCACAGGCAGTTCGCTCACCGGGGGGAAAGAGCAGCTGAAAAGAACAGAGGAAGAGGACACGATAACCAAACAGAACAAAAAGAGACCGAGGCCCATACTTCTCCAGCATATGTCCC